TGAGGGCATGGGGAATTCTTAAGGGGGCGACAGACCTGGGAGCGCTCTCTTTCTGGGCTCCCTAGCCTGCTGCCTTAGGGCACTCTCTCTCTCTGGCTTGTGTTTGGCTGGTGTTTATCTGAATAAAGGCAACCTAACTCTTATAGTCATTGGCATTGCCACCTCATGCTATTTGTTCATGTTGAATTACTCCCTGACCAACAACATCTAGCCCTGGGTTATGGTAACAGTAATAAAACCTGCCTCACCAAGCTATGTCTGGAGTAGCATTGAAGTGTGCCTCTATTTCTCTGTTTTTCCTTAATGAAAACTTCTCCCAAAGTATTACTTAGGCCTGTACTGGCCAGTGTGGTTTTTTGACTACATTCTGCCTGTAAGCATTTGGATGGCAAGTCAGAAATTATACACTCTGTAGAAAGTGCATACTGGCTCCCATAGACTCAGTGTATTAAATGGCTCAATATTTTTAGATTGATTACATGTTATAATATTTTATAGGTATTGTTAAATAGTAGATATTGCAATTTAATTTCACCAATTTCCTTTTTCTTCTTTAATGGACTACAGGAAATTTCAAGCTTCTTGTACAGCTCACATTGTATTTGTGCTGGAGAGTTCTGGTGTCTGTGATTGTCTTGACGTCCCTCCACCTATGATGGGTGTTTAAGTCTCAGCACTTTACCCAAAACATTTACTTACTGCCTAGGGGTGCTTTGGGTTTTGTTTGGATTCTAAGAGCAGCATTCCATTCACTTTCGTTGATGTTTTCATTTCTCTTCTTGCCTTTGGGGACACTCATTCTCTTTCCTTACCAACAGTTCCTGTGTCTCCTTTTTTGCATCTTCAATGTCTTTTCATCTGCTTTTTCTATCCAGACTTGTTCCTCTGTAGCTCTTGTCTGAGTGGCTTTGGACACCATATGCAAAGACTTGCCCAATTTTGCTAAAGAACAGAAATGTATTTCAGTATATTAGAAGCTGAGACAGCCAGGAACAAGGAACAGTAGCTTCATTGTCTGGGGAGGGTCTGATCCCTGCTTTCAAGTTGGTACTCTATTGCTACATCATCACAAGGATAAGGGGGACAGGTCTTCATGTGATGATAGACAGAAGGGCTTGCAAGAACTTCCACTGTCAAGCTCTATATCAGAATGGCATGGTGCTCATAAGGATAAAGCTCTCGTGACTTAAATCACCTCTTCAACGCTCTACCTCTTAATACTTTAACATTGGCAACATCTTAATGGGGGGAGGCACAAACCATGTTGTACGTTTGTTTGTTTCCCCTGTAGACAGAAGCTCCATGGAACAAGGTCTTTTTCCGTTCGTCTACATCTTTTCACTAAGGGCTCCAAGCTGTGCTTGCCGGAATTCAATGATACCCAATTGGATCATTCCACTAGATTCTGCTGTTACCAGTTCCATGTATTTTAAAAGCATTTCAGTAATTCTTCTGGGTATAAGAATCACTAGGGAGCTTGCCTAAAATATAACTGTCCTGACCCCAGCCCCTAGGGATACAAATGCAGTAGATTCTGGGTGGAATCTGTAACATTTCTTAACAAGCTCCCAAGGTGATTTTGCTGGATAATGCAAGCACGCTTTGCAAAGTTTGTCTCACTGTTTCATTGTACCAGGTTAAGTTAATTTCTCTATTGCTCCCTTCTTGAATGTTGTTTCATGTATATCAGCAGAGTGTGAATCACCTAGGAACCTAAATATAGATCTCCTAGCCCCACCTCAGAGCTTGTGAATCAGAACTTCCAAGATGAGTCCAAGGAATCAAATTAAAAAAAAAAAAAAAAAAAAAAAAAAAAAAAAAAAAAAAAAAGACCTCCCTTGGTACCTCTGCTGTAGCCAATCTTCTTCTAGCCTTGGAGAGTCCCATCTGGCCTTACAGACTCTCTGAGGAAGTACAAACTCAAGAGCAAGTGGGCGTTTTCTTTGTCATTTTAAGCCCATTTCTTCATCTGTCCCACAATGTTCGAAACTGCTGGTCAAGTCACTGTGGAATGAACTCTGAGGGTAGTCACAGTTGCCAGGTGCCTTTGCAGCTTGAATATTGGCCATTGTTACATGGACATCTCAAACATGTCTATTTTCTGATGGAAGGCAGTAAGTGTGGCATAGCTGCCTGTCGTGTTTTGGTGGGGGTGCCCTCTGTCATCCTTTCTGACCATTAATTTAATGTTTCCCAGGTCCAAGCAGACAACATGGCATACTGTCCCTCCTTATCATATTTTTACACTTTTCCAGCTCAACCTTTCCCTTGGATCTGTACAGGAGGACATGCTTGGACTGGCTTCAAGCTTGAAGTGTATTCTCTGGTCTCCAGAGAGATAGTAAATGGCCTCCCCACTTTGCCCTGGGGCCTACCTGGGCTGTACAGGTTGCTGAGGGCAGGTTTATCCTTAGGTTAGACTTCTGGGGTCAGTAACCTTGTCCCACTCCTGTTTTGGTACTTTCTCTTAAAGCAGAACCCTTAAATATTACCAAAACTTGCAACAAAGTGAAGTGATGGGGACTGGTCAAGTGGTTAGGAATAGAGTATACCAAGAAATGATATTCCCAGAGCATTATCCTTGACCTAAACAAGCTTCCCAGTTGTAAAGATAAGTCCCCTCCTGGTTAGTCTGCTTCCTGAGTACCTGGCCTTCATAGCATGCTGTTCTGGACTTAACCTTTAAATACTAGCCTCTTTGAATATGGTGGATTTGCTTGTGTTCCTTGCAGAAAGCCAGCTCATGCTCACAGGGAATCTAAAAACTAGTGGTATCATCCCTGTATGCCCCAGAGGCTCTGCAACCCTACTGTGTGCTCCACGTATTTGCATTTTAGAGTTTCATCTCTGGATAAGTGGCAAGTTTCATTTTTATGCCAGATAAGAAAATCGGTAATCAGGAGAAAACCCCTCAGGGAAATCTTATTCCCAGGTGAAGCTGCTTCTTTAGGATTTTGAGGTGAGGACCATGAGCTGTGATTTAGTAACAAAGTGATGTGAACTGACCCTAGAAATGTATATAAACAAGAGACATCTAATGAGTCCTGACAGTTCAAGGACTGAAGGAAACTAATCTTTTTTTTTTCCCTGCCCACCCAGTCTTCATACAAATGTAAATATGTCTCTTTCAACAAGTTGCTGAATGTGGTTTTAATTTATAAACTAGAGACCAGCCTTGCTGACTGTACACTCAGGACTGTCTGAGTTCTCTCTCTCTCTCTCTCTCTCTCTCTCTCTCTCTCTCTTCCTCCTCCCGTCTCACCTTCCTCCTGCCGTCCCCCTTCTCTTTTTCTCCCCCTCTCTTTTTTGAAATAACTGGTTTTATGGTTTTTGAACTGAACATTTCCCCTGTCATGTTTCTTCCAAAGCCATCGCTGACCTTGTTGTCAGAGGACTTTAAGACAAGAATAGACTGCTGTATTTCTTAAAGACGTTTTTGAAGTTCCCAGAGGAAATACATGCGGTTTTAAAACATAACTAAGTGAGTGGCTGAATCCACACTGAGATTGAGATTTGAAGAACCTGTCACTATAGCTGTATCACACTTTATACAGTGGATGCAGAACCCATTGTTGTTATTTATGACCCTTTCTGCCTTCCATTGTGGACTTCATCCAGCCTTGGGGAATTTACATCATTCCTAATAGCAAAAGGCTTTCTGGTTCCCACAGAGTTGTTCAAAGCCTGACTCATGCTCCTTATGTTAATTGTTCAGCTCTGAAAATACAGCATTTACAGGGTGTGGCTGTGAGGGGAAAATCAACTGTATTTACAGGGCATGCAGGACATGTTTAGAAGTGTTTCACACATAAATCTCCATCACTCCCAATCTCTCTCAGCCTCCCCTCTTTTGTCTCCCCCCTCTGACTTAACTTTAAGTATTCTTTTTCCAAAAATTAATTTTAGGGAACAACAGACTAAAAGAATGACACATTACAGTACAATATAATCCAGTATAGCTAGTTATACTCTGTTGACTGACAATTAAAACCAATTTAGATTACAAAAGGACATGTTTTTGAAAGATCCTGGCCCAGGTCTGAAGCAATGGCATGGCCCAGAGCTCAAAGACCCTCCTAACTTAGTGTTGTGAGCCCTGGTTAAATCAAGCCTTTTCGGATACCCTGGAATAATATATACTAGTGGTTGCCATCCTTCAGAATCTCAGGGACTATCCCTAATCACTCCTATGTAAGCCTACTTAAACAAAGATAACTGATAGGCACCAAGTGACCCTCATGGTCACAAGATTTTATATGAATTTGATGGGGAAGAAGACTTGAAAATACCAGAAAACAAGAGCAGATAACACCTTATCTGGGCTATCAGCTTCTAACCTAAGGGAAGAAATTCCAAAAACATTACATGGGTCAGCTCTGGCAAAGGTTGGCAGAACTTTAAATTTTGTAATTATCTCTTTATGAAGCTTTGTGGGTATGGTTTTAAAGGTAGATAATCTGTGTATAACATGACTGCAATGACTACTATAAGAAGGCACAGACTCCCAGGGTTTTGGTTGTTTGTTTTCTTAGTAATCAAGATTGAAAAACGCCATTTAAAAAAAATACCAATATTAAAAGGTTTAACTTGATACTGTTTTAAGACTAAGAAAGGCTATATTGGTAAATAGGGAAATGTGGAGGAAATCTCAGGATCGTCAGGATACTGGCTGTTGTCCTCTCACAAGCTGCTGGCTCAGGGATTCTGCCCTTTGGGGTCACAGAGAGTCCACATATTGTTCTAGATGTCTTGGGATCCGCATGTTTCACATTATGCTTTTGTATATATGTGGTACATACTAACACATAAATTGTGTAGACAAGAATAAAAAACTAGTTGTGACACCAGAAAACCCCAACTGAAAGTAGTTGAAACAGTAATCTGTTTTATTTAGTATTTACAGAAGTAAAGCTGTCCACCTGAGCATTCCTGGTGTAACTGTTTTCTCTAATGTTCAGCTAATAGACTCCTGTTTGAACCTTTGTTATCTTTTGGACTAGACAAAAAGAACCCTCCATGGAGTGTCTGACTATTTTGCTGAGTGTGCAGAGAGTTCTCCTTCTCCTGCTACAAAGCACAAGAGAAATGCTCTACAAGAAATGTAGGTCCAGCATGTTTCCTTTTTCTCATTTTCTGACTGCCTGTGTGGATAGTGTATCACCAGAAGCCTGTGACTTTTTGAGAGTGTTTGGAACCTAATCAGAAGCCCCTCTGCCACAGGGGCTTCTACTGGCCCACAGCCACATATTAATGCAGGCCCTTCCCACCTTCCTGTTGCTCTTGTATTCTGGACAGTGGGAATAGACTCCTTGCTTCACAGGTGTGTGTGTTGTAAGGAATGATTAATTACAAGCTCTTTGAAGATGAAAAGCACCTGCTAGTGGTGTGTTTCACACAGCTCTTGAGGTAACTGCAGACAGACCTAAAAACTGCATTCCCTTTGTGAGATGTTTGTTCTGACTTTAGTGTAATTATGGCAGTCCTTGGGCTCCTTAAGGCAACATATTTTGGGTTTTTTTTTTTTTCCACAAAGCTTAGCCAAAGTCAATAATCTAGCTTCAGTGCTTGATTTTAGTGAATGAAGAAGTTGGTTGCTATTTGTAAATGTATTATTGTCATCTCCTTGCCAAAACTAAGGAATTTAGTCTTTCAATTTCCTATGAAGTTTCTGTCCTACCCTGGAAGTTTGCTTTATAGTTAAAGTTTGTTTTGTCTTGTGTATCCTGTAGAAGATATCTAGATAGATAGATAGATAGATAGATAGATAGATAGATAGATAGATAGATAGATAGGGTAAATATGCTGCATATCATGGTTGTGCTTTATTTAATGTTAATTTTCTGAATGTTTTCTAGGACTGACCAAGTCTGATTAACTGAGGCTTATTCCCATAGGGTTGATGAATAAACCTGGCACCTGCTGAGTAATAACTTAAAATGTCATGAGGGAATTTTCAGATTAGTGTTTACTCACAAATATAAACCATGTGTGTGCATATGTGTGGGTGTATGCACACATACTGTGCTTTGGATGTTCCTAAGCATTCCTTCCTAGTAAAAAAATCAGTATATCAACCCCAGGGAGTATTTGCCTCTGACATCTAAAACATGCATACCTGTTTGCTTTGGTTAAAGTGAGTCAGTTTTATAATGATTCCACCATGATTCCTTTGCTGAACCAGCAATGAAATCTTAGAACATATCCTAGTTTAGTGGAAAATGGGGAAGTTATTACTTAGTACAATCTGTATTAAACATAAACTTTGGAGATTTCTTAGATATGCTGGGGTGGGTGTTGAGGTGAAGCCAGTTGGCACATGCTTTGTTCTCAGGTGTAACAACCAGGGAATAGGGGTTTGGAGGAATCCATGCCATTGTGAACCTCACATGCCATACAATCTTTATTGTCTATTTTAGTGTGAGAAGAACTAAAGCAAAAAGCAGTGCTGGGAGCAAATCACAGACCAGCACAGACCTTGTGGGAAGACCTAGTGACTCAGTCATTGCCGTGGTACCAAGGAGGAGGGCCTCAGCCATTCTCCTGTCAGAAACTATGGGTCCAACACAAGATGACATAAAAGCAGCCAAGAGCCACCGGGGGCTTCCTGTTCAAAAGCTGGAAAATGTTTCTCAGACTCAGCCAGAAGACACTAGCAGCCAGCAACGGCCTCATCCTGGGGAGTGGTTAAAGACGGGGCTTCTAAGCAGGAGTCCTGTGTGTAGCTATGAGTCAGCATCACCAGGTCCAAAGCAAAGTCCACGAGCAGCCAAGACACAACAGAAACGCAGGAACTGTGGCTCTGCTGAAGTCTTTGACCACCGCAGCAGAGTTTCTCTTGGAAACGATGGATTAGTCCCAGGAGACATGATGGTAGAGAAGAGCACAGCTGTCAGTGTTTTGCCAGCATTAGAGTTGTCAGATACAGGGTTGCTTTTGAATCAAGATTTGGCGAAAGTCACAGCTAAAGAAGAGCTATATGCTTTGGAAAACCTCTCCTCCAGACACCTTATGACAAACAACCCAGGGCTGGTGCAGCAAACTAGCTCGCCTGCAGTTGATGAAAGATTAGCTACAGTTCAAGGCGGCCCAAGTAAAAAAAGAAAGAAATTGCAAAGTTCTAGCAGAGGATGTAGTGGCAAGAAAAACTTCAGTGTATAGTTCCTCTGGTTTGAAAAGAATTGAGTAATTAGTCTAAGCAAATATTTGGAGGTTGGGAGATATCTCAGCTTTTAAGAGCACTTACTGTCTCCAAGAGGACCCAGGTTGAGTTCCAAGCATCTACAAGGTAACTGGAAACCATCACGAACTCCAGATCCGGGAGACACAACACCCACTTTTGGCCCCCATGGGCACCAGGCATGCCCACGGTATGTATATGTACAAGGAGGCAAAACACACATACACATGAAATAAATCTTTAAAAACAAAACAAAACCGTTTGTGTTGGAATTAGCTTTCACGGTCACCTCCTGGAAGCTGTTTTTCTAATAGGCTTGTTACTTTCTCATCATGTTTATAACTGTCTCTAGAAAATATTGTATTAACAAAGAGCCCTACACCTATGAACGAGTAAGCCATGCCTCAGTAATGTTGGGCATTGTCACCCCATCACAATGAAGACCTCCTGATGGGATACAAAGAGACAGTGCCATGTGCTGCAGGCCAGTTCTAGGGCTGCAGTACTCTTGCTCCTCAAACTGAGTGCCTGACCATGAAAATAGGTTAGTGGTTCTGTGCGTAATGCAGGCATTGGAGTCTTCGAGAAACTAGGATTCTGAAATAACACTAAAGTTGATGATTCCCTAGGAATTATGTCCTTCAGCCTGGCCTCCATGGCTTCCATCAGCTGGAGCCACACGTGGACAAGTACCCCCCTGTGCTCCCTTGGACTTGTAGAGCATTTAGATTGGGTTCGGTGTGTGAGTCACTTAGTTCCCAGGTTCTATTAAAGGGTGGACACAGCACCTAGGGAGCTGTTGTAGCTGTAGTTGCCAGAGGTGAAGTTCTTCTCAGCCTTAGGTGAAGCCACGGAAGAGGTGTGTTCTGTGTAGCACGGCCTGACCCTATCCTTGTTCACACCTCCAATATTCCAGTTACAGTTAGGACAGACTAGAACCCAAAGGGAGCTCAGTGACCATTCCAGTTCCCAATTTGGAAAAATCCACAGGCCATTTAAATAACCTCTTTAGTTGTATAACCTTCTCTCAAGAAAGATAAGAAACTTAAGTTGTCAACATGTAAGTGTTATATCTGATCATCCCAGCCTCAGAAGACCAGAAACTGCTTGCTGGTGTTCCTTTCCTTCTCTATCTAGACTTTTTCTTGAGAGCCAATTCCAACCTGTTGAATCCTCAATGCAAGCATGAACAACCCCCTTATACACCAGGGTGCAGCTCACTCAGAAAGATCCTAAAGTCAAAACCAGACCTATCAGAATGATGGGTGCCTCCTACTCCAGAACTAAGATACTCTGACCCGAAATAAACAGGGTTTTAAATGTTTAATGGTTAAGGTCATAGTATTTAATTATACTTAAATGAAGGATTTGCTTTCAAGAAATGTTTTGTTTTTCAAATCTGTTCTATTGTAGGAGATAATGATGATTGTGACCAGTGAGGAAAAAAAAATAGTTGTTTGGACTGTATGTAGATGTATTCTTTCTCACAACCTTCATGCACAATGGATTTTAACAGGATTAGCAGGGAATTACTTTGGGCTCCCACACTGTGGCATTTGTTTAAGGAATTTTGCCTTTAAGCATTTTCCTGCAGTGTATCTGAAACACCTCTGCATCTCTTGTTTCTTGAATGGTTTTACAATTCTTTGAATATACAGACAAAAAGGAAAATTAATCCCAAGTGTTTTGTTACATATCAGGTGGACTATTAAATATTTTCTGCTATTGGGAATTATATGCAGTTTTTATATTCTTAACAATTATGATAACTTAGCATTTGAAAGTCTGAGACCCTATCAGTGTTGATAATCAAAAACAAGTTCTTCAACCCTTTGATACTTCAAATTAAATTTATATTCAGGTCCCTGTGATTCAGATACTTATAGGATTATGTCCATCTAATTCCCTTGATATTATTGTAACTGAAGAACTTGCTCATTATCTGGGATGCTAAGCCACCTTCATGTACTTTCAAATGACATTTTAATAAATGACATTTAAAATCCTGTGGGAAAGGCTGGGCCTGGTGCTATCCTAGAACTTGGGAGGCAGAGGCAGGCAGATCTCTGAGTTTGAGGCCAACCTGGTCTGCATAGTTAGTTTCTGGACAGCCAGAATTACATAGCGAGACCCTGTCTCAAAACAAACAGAAACAGACAAGAAGGGCATGGGAACAATCTGAGAATTTTCTTGCACAAATGCTTTTCTTTGCCACTGGAGGTTAACTCACCAGATATGCATATAATTCGTGAAGTGTACAGGGTCACTTGGCACTGAGAACAGGGTAATAGCTCCATGGTGTTGTTCCCTTATTTCATGCTAAAGAAATATGGAAATGCATTCCATTCTTTAAAAAGCAAGACTCATGGGCTGTTGGTGAAGTGGGTGCTTTGCTTGTGCAGGACTCTGGATTTGATCCCTCAGATACCAATAAGAAAGAAAAAGGCACACACACACACACACACACAAACATCCTGTATTCTGATTTCTGAAGAATGTAGCTTCTCTCAGGATGAACCTTCTCAAAGTGCATCTTGGAGACAAAGATGGTGTCTTATAAGTGCATCTTGGAGACAAAGATGGTGTATAACTGATTTATGTTTGATGTCGTATTTGGATTTCTGAAGAGATGGTGCCTTTGGTTTCAGGAAGAGTCCTGATTGGGGCAGACACGTAGTGCAGGAAACATCTATGCCCAAGTGAATGGCCTAGGATCTGTGGCGGCATTTGTGTTTCCTTAAGCTCCTTGGCAGACCTTACTGTAATATTTCCACAAAACGGTAGTGAATGGCTCTCTGAATAACAAGCAACTTTTCAAGAGCCAAAAAAACTCGCTGTGCAGCATGCTGGGACTGGAATATGGAAATTGTTTTAATTTCTTCTTTTCTCTTATGAGGAAATCACTACATTTGGTTTGTCAAGACAAGAGAGTTCATTCCCCAGTATTGAAACTGAGATGAACTGAAACATGTTAAAGCAAGTTAAAAAGAAAAAAAAAAAGTCAAAATTAAACTGGTTTCTCTTAAATAGCTTGAAGCTTTCCACAGTACAAAATAAATTAAGCATTATAAAATGAAGTTAACTCAAGTAATCACTCAGTACAGAAATCTAACTATATATATCATCGGTCATGCAGTTCCAGGGTATAATTAAATTCTCAGAAATCTGCAGAATCCCCTCTAATTTGGTTTCTATATATATTTAACAAGACAGAGAGCAAATATATGCCAGTGTGTAGCCTAACAGAGGGGCCTTGGATGAATGAAATTTTCTTTATCAGACTGGACTTTGAGTCTATCCAGGTAAGTTTCAGTGGCAATAGAGTGTCACCATACTGCATTAAAGTTTCTTTCACCAAAGATTGGGAATTATAGTTGATTGCAGCAAAACTCAGTGAAACCATGCATTTGGCTCCCCAAAGCATCTGATCAAGGCTAATAGGTGATAATTTGACAGATTCTCAGAATGAGTTTCTAGGTGGAATTGGACACTGCCAAATCTCCAGGAGAACGCTGGTCCTTTCATTTAAGGAACTTAAACAGTCTGAATGTCCATAGAATAGAACTGGATTTTGTTTTGTTTTGTTTTGTTTTTGCAGAGAAAATGTACCTGTTTTATGGATAAATATTTGGGTTTTATGTTGTGTCATCCAAATTGCTTACTTGGCGCAGGGGTGCAATGGGGTCCTCACTATATCCCATAGTTCAAACATAGCTCACACTGGCCTCGAAGTCTGGGTCCTGCCTCTGCTAGGAGTGTGTGTGTGTGTGTGTGTGTGTGTGTGTGTGTGTGTGTGTGTGTGTGTGTTTGTGTCAGAGAAAAACATGCTGTTCAAAAACAAGGGAATTAAGCTCAAAGAATGCATATCCAAAGCACCCTTTTCTGAACATGTTATTCTTAATTATGTTCTGCTTGTAACAATTTCTTTCTTCCCAGGGGCATTTCTTGGGTATTGGAAATCTTGCTAAGTTAAAGGAACCATTTGAACCACTACTAAAGATTTAGGTTTAGAAAACCTACTGAGAAACATTAAGATTAAATTTATCCCTACGGTTCTGTGCTGTCTTAACAGTAAGAGTCTGTTCCCACTGAGCTCCCAACTGAGTTTCAGTGGGCCTTTTAGACAGGGCTTTACATGATCTGGACACCTTCCCAGAGAACCCTGACATTCCCTACATGAACTCATTTACATGTTGCATGAGCATCTGGTCTTTCTTTATTCAGGACTAATTGAAGTTCGGCCCACCCCTTTCCCCATATCACCTTAGAATTCCAGTCCCTTGGGCTGCTCACTTACAAGTAGATTTCCCTGGTGGCCCTATACAAGTCCCTCCAAAAGAGTTTCAGTGTCAGTTTGGAAATTTAATGAGAGCAAACCCATTTCTTAGTGTTTTGGTCTTCCTGGTACACTGGCAAAACCCACACAAAAGATAACCCTGCTCTGGGCCTGGAACCTGGGCTGGAGAGCTGGAACAATGTAACAAGCAAGGTACTGCAAGCTGCAAACCCTGGGTCCAGGAGTTATACTGCCATTAATAGGTTTAATATAGGTTTTAATATAAGCCACTTAGCCTTCCAGGCTTCAGTTTCTTAATCTGTCAAAATTGTCTAGTATTTTAAGGGTAACCCACAACCTTTAAGTACTGAAATAAAGCATACCACACCCCTATGTTAATTTCTCCATCTGTTCAGAAATGCTTCCCTACAGTGGACACTAGTTGGAATCACCTATGTAGCTTGTAGCTCAATCAAACTCCCTGGGGATGGTTGGACCTGACTTTTAGTATTTTTAAAGACCCTCAAACAATTATTCTCATGTAATGCCATAGTTAGAACTACTTTTTCAATACGGGGTATGCTGAGAAGCTGGGTTGACAGACAAATACCCCTTTGGCCTTCTCCAAATTCAAAGAATACCTACCTTCAGACAAATGAATAAGAAGTCTTTAGGGTCGAGGTGTCAATTAGTAGCTATGCATTTTAATCAAAGGGATGTGTTTCCTTTACTTCTGAGGCTCCTGTATTCTGTCGTGTTAGACCCTACACATCCAAAAACATCATTCCCCACATTGAGCTATTGCTACCCTCATTCAGAAGACGAGTTTTCAAAGTGCCTAAATAATTGTCTGGAATTTCTACATAAACCTCTGGGGTTTGCCTTTGATCCACAATCATTAATATCATTAATAGGCTCTCTAAAAGCGCATGTGAATCTCAAGCTAGCATTTGGCAGAGCAACGGAAGAATGAATGCTTTTAAAATAGTTTGGCTCAGAAAGCGCATGTGAAATAACCCTGTGGGAAAATCAGGAGACTTTCTCATCCTGCAAAGGATTACCTAGGATGAGATACTGACCTTGCATTTTAAGTTCAGTTACATTTCTTAAAACCTCATTCATTACCCAGCCTGATTTATATTAGAGGGTGAAGCAGGCTGTGAGAGGCTTCCATGATGATGTGCAGTTTGCGTTTGTCTGTTGCTTTCTGCAGTTCCCAGAAGACTTTTCATAGTGTGTGTGTGTGTGTGTGTGTGTGTGTGTGTGTGTGTGTTCTTTAAAAAACAAACCAGCTTCTGCAGGAGATTTACTACAGCCTTTCTCTCAGCAACTAGCTGGAGACTTCTTTTCCTGGAGCTCTAAGGCAATCAAGCCCCAGAAGGCGAGTGTGTCAGGGTGAGCAGAGCACTGACCTCCACGGGGGAGAGGTCACCTCAGCACAGAAGACTCAAAGGGGAGGAAGAGAAAGCAACTCCGCAGCAGGGATTTGACTTGCTTTAGGGCAAAGGGGCTTCTATAGAGGAGTCCTCAGTCTCCCACGCCCTTTCGCCTGCTCTTCTATTACTGCTTGTCTTCTGCTCAGTGCACTCACTGCGCCATACGCACGCAAACACACACAGCTCTTACTCCTACTAAATGTCTCACACCCTTTCTCCACCTCCACCTGCCCCCAAGCAGTGGGCAGATTGGCAGCCCTTCTCCAGAGGAGGCAGGTGATGGATTGCCTGGAAATTTTGCTAGGCCCAGTGGCTCTGAAGACCTTTTTAGTTCCTCCCTCACATGCCTGTCTGGTGAGAACACTGAAGTTTCTTTCCCAAATCCACTGTGGGTGCCTGGGAGGGCTCATACAAGCTTATCTATTCTTGTTAGAGGAAGGCTGAGTTGGTAAATCAGTGTCGGACTGGGCATTTGGTACATAACATAGAAGGAGCCTAGAAAAAGCCTCCTTCCTCTAAGGATACCAGAAGCTTGTGAAACAGCAGTGTGGTTTTATTTACATATTCCCCACTTAAAATGCTACCCTGGTTAATAAGCTTTCTCCTTGTGCCATTCTGTTCAGTGGGAGATGCACAAGAAACACATGGAAAAGCTTTCTCGAGTGGCTCACCAGTGAGAAGGGCTCAGTCCAATGGAAAGGATCTCTGGGACCAGGAGCTGTCAGTGCAAAGGTGTAGGGGGCTGAGGCATGTATCTGCTGTCAAGAGTTTTATTGTGAAGCTAAGAATCTCTAGTTGGAAAGGACTCGGAGACAAACAGGCTCCATCCATCTATGAACTTTCTACAGCAAATTGCCATGCTTTCCCTTGACGGTGACATTTCTTATCAATCTGATGTTCTCTTGAACCCTGGTTGTACATGAATTGGGTTCTTGTTCTGCATGTTTCTTAGGTCTAATCCCAGATCATTACAATGTTTTAGGAATGCCTGCTAGCAGCTATGCATGTCTGCCTAGAACAGCTGCCCGGTACATGAGGGCAAGACAGGAGTGAGAAGGTTGGTCTTGACATTTAATCTGTTCTCAGTCCCGGTGGGAAGGGGACCACCATGCAATGTGAAAATCATGGAAGGAACATAATTGTTGGGGAAAACTCTATAGGGGATTCTTCCTTACAAAAAGTATTTCGGAAAGGCCCCAATCTAATGAAAACCTCTTAAAAGTAGTCAAACACTGCTGGGTGGTGGCCCACACCTTTAATCCCAGCATTCAGAAGGCAGAGGCAGGCGGATCTCTA